CTGCAGATAAGGCCGGCCTCCTTGCACCCACAGCCTGCTGATGGGATGGGAGAGCGGTTGTTCCATGCACTCCTGAGATAAGCGGCTTTCGGCACCTTCTTGAGCCACTGGGTCTGCCAAGCTGCCTTGGGAAAAGGACTGACGCGCGAGGCTCTTGCACGCTCATTCGCTTCAGCCAGCAAAGGCCGGGAAAATGCGCAGAGATGCAGCAGAGCATTGGCAGACCGGTGCTTCATTTCTCTGCCGATAGCAACGGCAATAGCCCTTAGATTTATATAGCGCTTCACAGTGCTTTACAGCCCTCTCTAAGCGGTTCACAGAGTCAGCCTCTTGCCCCCCCCAACAATCTGGGTCCTCATTTCACCCACCTCTGAAAGATGGAAGGATGAATCAACCTTGAACCAGTCAGGATTGAACTGCTAGCAGTTAGGGAGAATTGGTGGAGCAGCGGACTAAAGCGCTGTTAAAGTAGCACTTAGCTGCCAGCTGCCTGCAATTACTGCAAGTTCAAATCTCCCCAGGCTCAAGGTTGACTCAGCCTTCCATCCTTTCGAGGTAGGTAAAATGAGGACCTGGATTGTGGGGGCAATAAGCTGACTTTGTATAAAAAATAACACCACTTGGGGGGGGGGGGCGAAAGCCCTACTAAGCAGGTATATACAAAAGTATGAAGGCTATTGCTTAAAAGCATTGTAAGCTGCCCTGAGTCTCCGAAGAAGGGCGGCATATAAATCGAACTAATCAATCAATCAATCAATCAATTAGCCTGCAATACTGTATTCTAACCACTGTGCTACCACGGATTTAATGGTGTTTATTGCACAATAAGGGACGCGGTGGCTCAGAGGCTAAGATGCTGAGCTTATCGATCAAAAGGTCGGCAGTTCAGCAGTTCAAATCCCCAGTGCTGCATAATGGGGTGAACTCCCGTTCCTTGTCCCAGCTTCTGCCAACCTAGCAGTTCGAAACCACGTAAAAAATGCAAGTAGAAAAATAGGGACCACCTTTGGTGGAAAGTAACAGCGTTCCATGCACCTTTGGCGTTTAATAATGCCGGCCACATGACCACGGAGACGTCTTCGGACAGCGCTGGCTCTTTGGCTTTGAAACAGAGATGAGCACCGCCCCCTAGAGTCGGGAACGAGTAGCACATATGTGCGAGGGGAACCTTTACTTTTACCTTATTGCATAGAAGCTCTGGTTAGCAGTGTTTCTCAACCATGGCAACTTTAAGATGGGCGAATGTCTACAGAGATTCTCAACCATCCGGTTGGTGGTTGTCCCAAAGGGCCTGTTCAAAAGGCAGGTGAACCTTTTTGAAGTTTTTTTCCTTGAAAATGTTTCGCTTCTCACCCAAGAAGCTTCTTCGTTTCGGGTTGAATGGTGGGGAATGGAAGGATTTATATTCTTTGGAGGCATCTGGTCGTTAGCCCTCTGAAGCTCTGTAAGAGTCTTTGAGGCCAAAGTCTATACTTTTAGGGTCACCTGAATCAGAGTGCAAATGGGCGTGGAACCTTCCTGGCATTGCTGAAAGGACTGTGTTGCTAGACAGGAGATAGGTAAGTGTCGTATCACACACACACCCTTCTGTTGAGAGAGGGCTATTCAGTTTTAATGCAGATGGCCTTTTGGACCCCTCTTTCAAACCAGCAGTCCTCTCTGTCCAGAATGTGGACTTTGCTGTCTTCAAAAGAGCGGCCTTTGTCTTTTAAATCCAGGGCTGAATTCTTCCCTGATGGGGTTTTTTTCCTCCTGTGTTGTGCCATGTGTTTGTGAATGCTGGCTGGGGAATTCTGGGAGTTGAAGTTCACCCAGCTTAAAGTTGCCAAGGTTGAGAAACACTGCACTAGCGGTTCAGGAGATAATGTGCAATAAAATTATATTTAGCACCACCATGCCCATAAGGAAATGTGTGGGCATGTCTATGTCTAAATATTGGGTATGTCTAGATTAGTGAAAAGATGGACTAGGGGAGATATGATAGCAGTGTTCCAATATTTGAGGGTCTGTCACAAAAATGAGGGGGGGGGCTAACAATTTACCAAAGGAGCAGAAGGTGAGACAGGAAACAATGGATGGAAACTAATCAAGGAGAGAAGCAACCTAGAACTAAGGAGAACATTCCTGGCAGAGAGGACAATTAATCAGTGGAATGACTTGCCTTCAGAAGTTGTGGCTGGTCCATCACTGGAGGTCTTTAAGAAGAGATTGGACAGCCGTTTGTCAGGAATTATATTGACACTTCTGCTTGTGCAGGGATTCAGAGAAGTGCATTCTTAGTCTGATGAGTTGAATGAAAAGATCTGCTAAAATGATCTATTAAGATTCCCCAGCAGCGAGTCTAACCTGGAATATGCTAATTCAGGCCAGACCCTAATCCAACTTCCTTTGATCATTCTAGGTGAGCCAAAGCAAAGTTGAGAGAAGCTCATTGAAGCAGCAAATGCTTCTGGGAAATTCTGACACTTGAGAGTTCATAGAGCTTTTCCCCTGGAATGTTCATGAAGGATAAGAATGTAAGTCTTGAAATAACATCACAGCAGAAGGCGGGGAATAAGTTGGACATTTCTGCAAAGATTTTGGCCAGCCATCTTGCTTTTGTCAATGTCATGAGAGAGACTCTTTTCTCCTTATCGGACACCCAAATGAATACCAAACTTGCAACGAAATAAGGGATTGACAAGTGGGAGAATTCCAGAAATGTCCTGCAAGAATTTCCTCCCCTTTCAGAAGCAACAATCTCTTTGTTCCGTTGACCCTGAGAAGCTTTCAATAATCTCCAAAGAAAAATTAAGCACCATTCAATGACATATTTCTGCTACACTCAGTCAGCTAATTTATTCCCTTGGGGTTGGGCTCCCTGGTGTTGTCTAAATTTAAATTCCATGCAGATGAATGTCCCCAGATTATCCACCAATGTTCAGAGGAAGAAGGAAAAGGCTTTGGGTAGCTCCCATCTTCATCTCCTGACCACCACAATTCTCCAAATGCATGTTTTCTCACTCCAACATTATCATCTATACCAGGGGTCTCCAACCTTGGCAACTTTAAGCCTGACATATCTCAATTCCCAGAATTCCTGAGCTGGCCAAGTCCTCAGGTCATAAAAGGGTGGGCAGCTATGGTCCCTTTAGGACAGGAGTCTCCAACCTTGGCAACTTTAAGCCTGGAGAACTTCAATTCTCAGCTTTGCTGGCTGGGGAATTCTGAGAGTTGAAGTCCTCCAGGCTTAAAGTTGCCAGGGTTGGAGACCTCTGATCTACACCAAGCTAATGATTGTAGCTCCATAGGACAAAGAACTAGAAATATTGACAGGACCAGATCTACTCTGCATGCTTCCTTTTGAGTAATATCCCTTTTCACTAAGACTTCTTTGCTTCAGAGGGAAGAGGGAGGATGTGAACCATTTATGGAGAGGAAAGGAGAGAGGAGGAATGGTGTTGAGAAAGAACACATGGGAAGCCACTCTTCGACATATTTATTCCATCACATGTCCATCACACTGTCCATGCCAGTTTTTATCTCCTCAACTGTTACCTCATTCATCAAGCAGCTAAAATATCAAAATGATGGATTTTCTCAATTTTGTTGACTGTATTTTAAGCTACTTCATACCATTCCTGGTTCAAGCAAGGATGGGTGAATGTCAACAGAGCAAGTCCAGCAAACACTGTGTCTCTCCTTCTATTGCCTTCTTCACATTTCTTTTTTTTTTACAATTGAAGCCCAGTTGAATGACCAGAAATGGCTGACTTGATATTTCAACAAAGACCTTCCTCTTACTGTTAGCTCACACAGCTCTGTCCAATGTTGGGTTGCAAGCAGTGGTGAAATCCAATTTTTTTTACTACTGGTTCTGTGGGCATGGCTTGGTGGGCATGGCAGGGGAAGGATACTGCTCGAAACCGGTAGCGGAAATTTTGGGTAGTTTGGAGAACCGGCAAATGCCACCTCTGGCTGGCCCCAGAGTGGGGTGGGAATGGAGGTTTTGCAATATCGTTCCCCCAGGAGTGGGGACGAAATGGAGATTTTGCAGTATCCTTACCCTGCCATACCCACCAAGCCACACCACGCCCACCAAGCCATGCCCACAGAACCGGCAGTAAAAATATTTGGATTTCACCACTGGATGAAGCGTTCCCTTTTCCAATATGTATAATATTTGGAATATTTAAATAATATGTTTAAAAATACCAGTGTTGGATATAACTAGGCATATTTTAATAGAGAAAAAAATGAACTAATGACTGGATGGAAGGATAGATGGATAGATTCATGTATATTTTGAACATGAGCAATTTAGACTATCATGCAACTGTTTCATCACAATAGACAAATTTTATTTTGAACATGGAAACTGCTCTCTAAAGTAAGAAGCCCTCACATATCATCCCAAAATCATCCCAGGTCTTAAATCTTTTATCTTCAATCACTTCCTTTCATTTCCAGCTCTTTAAGGAGTCAATACCTAAATCAGAAACTTGTAGGAACAAGACACAGGGGTACCATCTCTTACACATTTAGCTGAAAATGCAACAAACAAAGAGTCAGAGTTTTTTTTAAAAAAAAAATTAAAGCAGTCAAGCTAAGCCAAATGTAGTTGTGGGGTGGGGGTGGGGGGTACAATCAGGTCTTCTGCAAAGAGGAAAAATGTTCTTCTCTTTTGGAGCATCTAAATGTGGAATGTTTACAAAATGCTCATTAAGAGAAAAGGGGGTTGTGAGATAGCGGGCGAAATCTGGTGGACAGCTTACACTGGAGGAGATAAGAGAAGGAAAGCTACCATAGGAGACAGAGCAGGCCATGTCCAATTACTGAGACCTGGACGAAAGGGGGTGTGGGGAACAAGAATGGGAGAGTCAGTGCCTGATCACAAGCTCCAAACTTGTCCACCCTCGGTGACACAAGCCGTATATAACCCTCGCGGGGGGATAAAAGAGCCACTTAGACCGCACCCGAGCAAACTTGGTAGAGCAGCTTGGCCACTTTGGATGAACGTCATGGAATCTGTAGCCTTCCAGATTTGGGCCACCGTTTCTCTTCTGGCCCACCTTGCAGATGGGAGCCCCATCACCAGCTTAGATGTACCTCTTATGGAGGAAGAGGTGCCCTTCTTTGATGAACAGGACGCCCTGCTTCAGAATTTGCAAAACGAGCTCCTGAAGGCACTTAACCTCTCGGGGATCCCCCTGGAAGAGGAAGCCAAAGTGGACCCTCCAGAATATATGTTAGAGCTCTACAATAGGTTTGCCAGGGACAAGACCTTGCTGCCATCAGCCAATATTGTTAGAAGCTTCAAAAACGAAGGTAAGTCCTTGGATTTTCTTCCCAACTTTAGGAGGAGCAACCAAGTAGGTTGAGTAGCCAATTATCTCACTGGCTTTTAGTTGTTAGATTACAGTTGTAACTAGAGGAAAGGAAAATTATTATTTTAGTGGAGCAGAGAGGAAGTTTGAAAGAGAAGATATTAGCAAAGAGACTCAGCTGGCCTAGTGTTGAGTTGTCTTATTTACTGCTTAATGGGACACATCTAATCTCCCAGCTAGTTGACTTTCGCACTGCAGGGTAATTGCTGTACAGTATTCCTCAGATTGGCAGTGCTACATTTAGCCAGAGCGTGTGTTTTTTGTGTAAGTTTTGAACAACTGATGAAATCCATAAAGAATCTCTCATTGCACATTCTCAGGCATTATCCTCCAGATGTAGAATTCCACCGGCAAGCTTCTTTTTTTTCAAGAGCGTCAGGTTAATTCACAAGCAAGGATTTTCAAAATACACATTTCAAGCTCCGTAATTTTTCAGTTTTGTTTTTGACACAGCTGCAGGAGGTTTTTGCAGGCGCACAACTTCAAAGTTGGTTGTTTTAAGGTCTGCCTATCCTAAGGAGGAGGATTCGAAATGAGCAGAAGGTATAAACCAGAAAGCAAACTGATCTAAAAATCAGCCCTGTGCCAAATTTATTGATCTCAAATGTGTTAATAGAAGAAACTAAAACCTGTTCTTTGCAACCTTGTGTAATACAAAACAGTTCTTATAAGCACCAGTTTGATAGCACACCACACAACTATCTTGTATTATACATATAGATATATATCTCTGGCTTGCAGAAAATGATTTTTGCAAATACTTTTAACAGCTCAATCCAACATTTACTTGTCAGAGCACTTGAGCGTGTCAGCGTTAAGATATCTTACTGCAAAATGCTTCTTCCTAACTACAGATAGTTGCTGCTGATACTCATTTTCATGGATTATAGCATAAAGGCATATAATTATGCTTTTCCAAAAGCCAAGAACTTGGCAGATCTTCCAACTAGGTTATAGTGTAGACTTCCATGGACTACAGACCACATTTTCAGCTGGATTTCTGCTGATCCTTACAATCAGCCTTCTTCATAGTCTCTGGTCTGTAGTAACTATGAATAGGTGTTACGTTTTTTATGACAATGCACTCTATTGCAGCTACCTGCAAAAAATTAGAACTTCATCAGGTAAAGGCCATGAAATTATAAATCCATTGCTCTCAAATGGACCTCATCAGGGTGCAATAGCGAAGTTCACCATGTTAGAATATCTTTGCAATATCTCAGCCTGCCATTTTGTCACAAAACCTTCACTTGATTAATAGATTTTTCTGCCTCTTTTTTTACTGGCCCCTCCATTGCCAACCGTTAGGACAAGTTTTTGTTTCAAAAGTGATCTCTCGTCCACATTTTTTTTACTCCAATTTGGCTACTTAGCAGTTTAGTTGCAGAAAATCAATTTATTTCTCCAAACTGCAACATCAATAGTGTTATCCTCCTGTTTTTCCAACATGCCTTCCTTCCTCCTCCTATTTTCTGCACACAGCAATCCTGTGAGGTAGGTTGGTCCGAGAGAAAGGGACTGATCCAAAGTCCCTCGGCCAGTTTTCATGCTTGGCGGGGGTGGATGAGGTTGAAACTCACGGTCTACTGGTTTCAAAGCCAGCGCTGCCTCTCAATGTCAACTGAAAACTAGATTTAGTCAGGTTGAAGTGTATTGTGCGATAGTGACAGTTCTTTACACCCTGTATCAATGTGAAATATAATGTGATTTTAAAAAACCATTTGCAGAACAGAGTTCACGGCCCATCCGCTTTAATGGCGTACGGAGGTACCCTCTCCTGTTCAATGTCACCATCCCTCACCATGAGAAGATAACCATGGCTGAGCTGAGGCTCTACACTCTGGCGGAGGACAAGCCACTCTACGAAAATCTCGACCGGAAGGTCACCGTTTTTGAAGTGCTGGAGGGTGAACACGGAGGAGGGAAAGAGGGAGAGGAGAGGAAGCTGAGAGTGCTGGCATCCAGGTTTATTTACAGCACCGACAATGAATGGAAGACGTTTGAGGTGACAGAAGCCATCAGGAAGTGGCATCACTCTGACTCAACCACTCACCAGCTAGAGGTGCAGGTGGAGTACCGAGTGGGAGAGAATCCCAACCCAGGAAGACACAGAGGCGTAGACATCAACCTGGAACCCAAACACAAGCCGTTGTTAATTGTGTTTTCAGACGATCACAGCCATGCCAAGAAAGAGGAGAAACACGAGCTGAAGGAGATGATGGAGCACGAGCAGATGCAAGAGTGGCCGGATTTAGATTTGCAAGACTTCTCCAGCAGCCCCAACGATCTGCTTCAGATCAGCTCCAACATCATCTATGACTCAACCTCCAGGATCAGGAGGAATGCCAAGGGAAGCACCTGCAAAAAGACGTCCCTCTATGTGGATTTCAAGGAGATCGGCTGGGACTCCTGGATCATTGCACCCGCTGGCTATGATGCCTACCAGTGCAAGGGAGCTTGCAGCTTCCCTCTGGATGGCAGCCAGTCGACCACCCATGCCATGGTCCAGACGTCCGTTCACTTGAATGATCCCCAGAGAGCTTCTCCTGCCTGTTGCGTCCCAACCAAGCTAGACCCCATCTCTTTGCTCTTCTTGGATAAAGGGATCGTCACCTTCAAGCAAAACTACGAGGGCATGTCCGTCTCTGAATGTGGCTGCAGATAGTAGCAGGAGATGGGGCTCTTGCATGGTGTTTTGGCTTTCGTGGGATTTCATGGTTCCATCTGAACAGTTTTGAGATGCAGTCAACTCCTTGAACAAGGGAAAGGGACCTTGGAGACGGGCAAGGGTTTAGGGATGATGGCTTGGAGAAAAGGGGAGGAGGGGGATGGAAGGAGACAAGTGACCTAGACAGCAGCAAGCGGAGGCATCTCCTTACCTTCAACTAGAGCTCCCTCAACATCACAGGACTTTCTCTTCAATTGTTCATCCCAGACATTTTACCATTTAAGCAATCCTGTTCAGTTCCTTCCAATTTCCGGCCACTACAACTGAGCCAACAGTTGTCAGAAAACATACCTAGCATGATCTGGCTGCCAGTTCAATTCTAGTGTCCCTTGGAGACTGTCCTGGGAGGAAGCCGTTGCCCTTCTTAGTGACAATCCTTTGCCCTAAAACCCCAGCCAGCAGCTTTTCTTTCCAACAGAGGGGCAGTCCAATGCTCCGCTTGGACTTGTCCTGGGAGAAGAAGTTCAAGAAAACTTTCTTAAGCTGTGACACCTGAGGTTCATACCGCTCAGTAAGCATGGTTTCATTAACCATGATTTATTGAATAAAACCAGTGTGTTGCAGCTGGATTCCTGCAACACACCAAGCCAAAAGCAAATTGTTAGGGGAACCTAAGTCATAACCTTTTCCTTGTTTCCTTGCTTACTCAGAAAAAACACCGGCCTAGTGGTTGATGCAGAAATTCTCTTTCTGGAAAGTTCTTTGCTACTCCCTTCATCCCTCTCAGGATTGTTCTGCGTAGTCAGTTTAGTGGAGCCCTTCAGATAGCATAACCAAGACATCCCTCAAAGCAATTGCATCTCATTGCTTTGGACAACGCCACTCGGATTGGGGTGCGCATGATACGAACCCTACTCGTCTCTTGTATCGATGCCCCAATGCAACTCAGAATCTGGCTGATCGTTGTTTTGATCACTGTTAAAGTTTGTGGGGAGGGGAGGATTGTTTCGTGCTGAAATTTCAGGGCTCTTCGGACAGAAAAGGAGCTCCCTCCTTACTGGAGCTGTCGATTCACGAGACAGTTCTCCATGCGTACGACGGAGGTCACATGTCAAGTTTCCACCACTCCTCTCCGACAAATCGTTGTGATAAGAAGGTGTTGGAATTGAGAAACGATAGGCCTGGCGGTGCTTTATTTATACTAAGCTGCAAATTGGTCAGATTCTTTGGAAAGTGTAATTGACGTTGTGTCTCGAGCCCTTTGTGGTCTTACTGTACTACGCCCCACCACTGATTTCTACTTTTAAGGAGAGAGAGAGAGAGAGAAGTTGGGTTTTGAGAGCAACAACCTGGGCCCTTCAGGAGAATTCTCATGCAAAGCACTTGGACTTGCTGAAATCCACCTCACCTTCATCCCTGAAGCCATTATTTATTGATCTATTTATTGACTGTCGTCCTTGTAATATAATGTAGAATACAAAATGTTTTATTTTTGTGCTTGTATGTTTACCAAACACACTTGGGTAATCCTGTATATTGAACTGTTTCGTTGCTAATACCATCCCTCAGTTTCAACGGACTTTCTTCTTCATTGTCTTTGTAAATATATTAATTTGTCCTTGTTTTTCCATCTCTCGGTGTAATACAAAATACAGTGACATCCAGCATACAATCACTTTCAAGTCTAAAATGAATACAGAGAGTGTGCATTTTTTCATACGGCCAAAACTGAGAGCTGGTGAATTTGCCCCCCTATTCCAGTTTTGCTGGAAACATCCCATTTTCAAACATACAGTGAGTTCCGGCAAGACTTCTGACTGTATCTTGAGGCCAATTTTGGCCACAATTACTGCATAAGTCTCCAACAGACTTTGGAGGGATCTATCACAATTCTCATCGTTAAAGTGAGCCTTTGTTCTTCAGAATAGCTGCTGCAGTGACCCTCAAACTCTCCTCTGCTCCAGATGTTATTATCTTATATTCTATTTCTCTATGGAGAAATCTACCCACTTTAGATGAACATTGAATCAATCAATCATATTTATTCGGTCAAAGACCAGCAAAATTTAAATAGCCAAAGCAAACAAATACAGAGTGAAGCAAACGAATACCATAAATCACTAGCTATCAAAATAAATAAACAAAATATAACATTCATTCCTCCATTATTATGTTAACAGAGTTGTTTCTCAGGTGATAAGTCTAAAACGTTAATAGGTACAAAATAAAAATAAAAACTATATTTCCCCTGCAGCAAATAGTTAAATGTGTCCAAACCAAGTTGTATGTTAAAACAAAGGTAAATATTAATTTTTACCAATTATAGCTTGTTTTCATCGCAGCCACACAAAATATACTTCCTGCACATGTAGTGAATGGTTTTATATCCTGAAGGAGAATGTTCATGTAAAAATTATCTGGCCTCCCTGGGAATTTATCTATTAGGGGTACAAGGTAGATTGATGTCTCCGTACAATGTAGACTAATGTCTCTGTAAAAAGGGACGTGGTGGCTCATTGGCTAAGACGCTGAGCTTGTTGATTGAAAGGTTGGCAGTTCAGCGGTTCGAATCCCTGGTGTCGCGTAACAGGGTGAGCTCCCGTGACTTGTCCCAGCTTCTGCCAACCTAGCAGTTCGAAAGCACGTAAAAAATGCAAGTAGAAAAATAGGGACCACCTTTGGTGGGAAGGTAACAGTGTTTCCGTGCGCCTTTGGCGTTGAGTCATGCCGGCCACATGACCACGGAGACGTCTTCGGACAGCGCTGGCTCTTCGGCTTTGAAACGGAGATGAGCACCGCCCCCTAGAGTCGGGAACGACTAGCACCCATGTGCGAGGGGAACCTTTACCTTTGCCTTAAAATTTACAACGTAGTAATATGTGTGTGAGAGTTTCAAATTCCTCATCACCACTTCGACAAATACACTCAGCTACAGGAATTTACTACCGTATATCTGCCTTGAAGAAGTGCAGAGGGGAGGAACGTTGAATCTAGCTTTAAAGAATGTTAGATCTTGAGAACCTTAGATTTACCAAGTAACTTGCTGGTGCTCCTGTTAATCCAAACTCCATCATATTGATGGAGCCTATTAACTTCAATTTGGAACTTCACATTCCTTATTATTGAGAACAATTAATAAGTTTGCCTTCAGAAGTTCTGACTGCTTTAGCACTGGACTGGAGGCTTTTAAGAAGAGATTGGACAGCCCTTTGTCTAGGCCTAGGGTCTCCTGCCATGGGCAGGACATTGGCCCCTAGAAGACCTCCAAGGCCCTTCCAACCAGTTCTACGTTCTAGGCTGGGTTTGATGGTCATCTAACGATTTTAAGAATAGTGGAGAGAATCCATAGGAAGCCAGTTTATGCTCTACTGCCTGTTTCTAGAGTAAGGAAAAGTTACCTGTTGGAATTAGAGGGATCAGACCAAACCTGGGTGTGTGTCTGTTGCATTTTGAGTCATTATTATCTTCTGGGCCCCTAACCTGAATCTGTGGCATTCCTGTTCCCAGTCTTAAGGAAACATTTGACGTTCCACAGGACGCAGCTCGAATTCATCTCAGGAATTTTGTGGGCACCATTATTCCCTGCAGTTGCTTCATCGGATAGATTGCTGTTTGTGCCCCGTAACAGATTCGGGCCACTGTTTTGGCTTCAAAAGGTGGGGAGAATTGTCCACAGTCAAGTGTAAAAGAAATGCTTCATGGCATTCATCTTCCTAAGGCAGAGTTTCTCAACCTTGGAAGCTTGAAGATGGGTGGACTTCAACTCACAGAATCCCCCAGCCACCCATCTTCAAGCTACCAAGGTTGAGAAACACTGTCCTAAGGGGTAATTGCACCATGTAGTGCTGGAGGGTGTATCAGCTTCCTTTCATGTAGAAAACTACATTGACTACTCTAATCAATGCCCTTGTTTGGCTCTCATGGTGAAAACCCAGATTTCTGATTTATCAAAATTGAGAACCAAATTGTTGTATATTGTTTTTGTTAAGATTATTGTTTTTGTGTTACCAACCAGCAGAGTGTAGAGCACAGAGAAACGTTGCTGAGAGCAATGAATAAGAGATGTGCAAACTGGTTTACCAAAAGTTTACTTTATAGTGAAAAAACAATCTCATAGTCTTTAAACAAATCCAAGTCTTTGCCAGTTAAACCAGCCCAGTGATACAAATATCATCTTACCACACAAACAGTAGTTGGTTAGAATAACAAGCTCACTCTGGTTCACAAACCACGATGGTTGCAGATCCATCCAACGATGATGGCACAATGATAGCAACTCCTCACACTATGGTAGCATATCATCAACTGAATACGTTGCAGTACCTTTCTTAAATACGTTCACAACTAATTACAGCATGACTCAGCATTACAAGGAATCAGCAGTAAAGCCTTAAAGTCACATAATACATATTCATATTAAAGTCACAGAACACATATATTGCCTGGACAACTTGTTAGGCTCAAACCATATCCTAACATTTTTATCAAGTTCCTGCTGCCAGCTTTTTGAGGGACAGAGCAGTTGGTCATCCTGGCATTGTGGATTGGACATCCAGAGCTAGAGAGGACAACAGAAGAACCGTGTGATGTTGTCCCATGCTAAGTGATGACCAAGGAGCTGGCCAGGAACGGAGGAGGTGACACTGGCCTGATTAGAGCAGGGAAGAAGCCAGCTAAGCATGTCCTGGCCTCAAGATTTAGTTTGCGCTCCAGCGCAGCAGATCACAGAACCACGGGGTGGGAAAGGCCTTCTAGTCCAACGCCCTGCCCAAGACAGGAGGAGTGCTTGTGCCATCTTGGATAAATAGGTGTCCAAGAAAACCTCCAGTGATGGAGCAACTACCACGTCTGGAGGCACTGATTAATTGTTCTCACTGTCGGGGAATTTCTCCTTAGTTCCAGCTTGGATCTGTCTTGAATGCTCTTCCACCTGTTGCCTTCAGGTGCTTTGGAGAATAAGTCAACCTTTCTTCTCTGTAGCAAATACTGGAAGACAACTAGCATCCAAGACTCCAATCCTTTTCTTTGACAGACTAGACATAACTAGGTCCCTCAAACGTTCATCATACTGTTTACACATTTGAGGAAGACACAAACCAGGGACACACACACACCAGTGGTGAAATCCAATTTTTTTTACTACCAGTTCTGTGGGCGTGGCATGGTGGGCGTGGTGTTGCGTGGTGGGTGTGGCTTGGTGGGCATGGCAGGGAAAGGATACTGCAAAATTCCCATTCTCTCCCCACTCCAGGGAAAGGATACTGCAAAATCCCCATTCCTTCCCCACTCCTGGGGGAAGGATACTGCAAAATCCCCATTCCCTCCCCACTCCTGGGGGGAAGGATACTGCAAAATCTCCATTCCCACCCCACTCTGGGGCCAGCCAGAGGTGGTATTTGCTGGTTCTCTGAACTACTCAAAATTTCCACTACCGGTTTGTCAGAACCTGCTGGATTTCACCCCTGACACACACAGAGAGACACCCCTCTACACCTTGGAAATGCATCCCAATTTCAGTCAGAAGAACAGAGGACAAAAGAAGAGAAGAGCCTTGATAGTACAGTGGTTTAGTGCACCCTGTTATTAACACAGCTGCCTGCAATTTCTGCTGGTTCAAATCTCATCAGGCTCAAGGTTGACTCAGCCTTCCATCCTTTCTAAGGTAGGTGAAATGAGGACCCAGTTTGTGGGGGCAATAAGCTGACTTTGTATAAAATATACAAAAGAATGAAGGCTATTGCTTAATGCATTGTAAGCCGCCCTGAGTCTCCAGAGAAGGGCGGCATATAAATCAAATTAAAAAGAAGAAGAAGAAGAAGAAGAGAAGGACAAAATCAGTCCTTTTGCAGATGGTTCCAGGGATGGTTTCCACCCACCTGCCTCTTGTGGGGCCAGGGATTTTCACTCCTGTCCTAGGAGATGGCTTTGCACCATGGCTGTTCATGAATGGGACTTTTCCCAATTTGAATTATGGGAGGGCGAGAAGGGGCCTCATGCACCTCCAAGGCAGGAGGGCGCCACCCGAGAGCACGCTGGCTGCTTCCAATCGTCCGTATCTTTCCATTCTCACTTCCAACCCAAGTGTCACTGGGCAGCGTGCTGATGAGGTTAAGCAGGGTGCGAGCCAAAGATGGTGTTGAAAAGTGTGTGTTGAGTTAAAGGGAAAAAGGTTTAAATGCTGGGTCATCTCTGGAGGGCCCAGCATGATCAGAGAGGCTCAACCAGCCCTCTAGCATTCCCAGCGTCCATCACTTCCAGGTTGATGTTGTCCTTTGCTGTAGCAACTCCTTATCTCGGCAGAGATTAGAGTATTTTCAATCACCAGAGATTTATTGTGGGAACCCATTTCCTGAGCTGTCACCACCCGCTGCAAAGCAGAGTTTAAAACCTGCAGGAGAAATGTAAATATTGCACCTGGGATTCGAGATGAAATGCTTGGCTGCCCCCCCGCCCTGCCATGTGTGATCGATCACGGGATTAACTTTCTGGAGAGGGGTCTGTGCGTCCACATGTGAGACATTCTTTCGGAAATAGCAAAGGCCACAGCGAGAGGGGCAAAGCCATCAGGAGTCTGGAACCGCTTTTTGCAACTCTCAAATTTCATTGCATGGCTGCACTTCCCAAAAGCGTTTGTCGCTTTATAAAATCTGTAAAAATTGGGAAATGGCGCTCCTAG